GTCTTTGGCAAGTGTGGCTTTAGAAGGTGTTCATGAGTTGCCATTTAACACGACTTGGCATTAATCCATGTCCCCAGTTCCTGTTGAATGGTACCCTCTCGAGTTACATCTTAGAAGTTCCTTTTTCCAATATTAAGGAAGGGCCAGGACTCTGTAGCAAGAAGTGATCCTCAAAAGTCCTTATGACCTTGATGAGAACCTGACCTAAGACCTCTATGGTAGCGTGCTCACTGCTCCACACAGGAGTCAGCAGGAAGTGGGATCGACTTCTCACTCTGACGTGGACCACCCGACCAAATGTAGTATGAAGAAATCTAATGCAGCATTTCCCCACATTTCTGCCGGCCTGCTGGACAGAGGGTGCTCAAGCTGACTTATCCGTGGGGCGGCACCGTACAGGGACAAAGGAATGGCAGCAGTTGGCTGTAGCCCGTGCCTGGTTGACCACGTCTACCTGGTTGTGTGATTCCAGTGACTTCCTTTATTTGAAAAGTCTCACCTGTAAAACACAGATTGCACACAGGGCATCTTCATCTCTGCCCATCATTTAGTTTTCTTTTGTTTTGTTTTTTGGTACTGGGGATCAAACTCGGGATCTTGTGCTTGCAAGGCAGTCACCAGAACCACTGAGCTAAATCCCCGGCCCTGCCCATCATTTAGTAATGCCCTCCTGTCTTTTTCCCCCAAAAAAGCATTTTTTAGCTTCTTTCAATTTTTTTAACTAGTATATGTTTGCTATACATAATAATTACATTCGTCTTGGGGAAAATAGATATATTATTCTTAATCATTTTTACTTCTCTTTCCCTTTCTCACACTCCCTCCCCATACTCCCATCACCATAAAGTCTATCTCTGTTTCCTATCATCTATCTTTTATTTTACTCTTTAAATTATTTATATTTTGAGTTTCCCATATGAAAGAAAACATGCGATATTTAAATTTCGATGTCTGATATATTTCACTTAGCATTATGGTCTCAAACTGCATCCATTTTCCTACAAATGACTCAAATGTATCCTTATAACTTTATGGCTGAGTAGAACTCCATTATGTGTGTATATACAGCACATTTTCTTTATGCATACATCTGTGGATGGGCCTATTGGCTGCTTCCAAGATTTAGCACTTGTGAGTTGTTATAAAGTGCTATAAACGTGAATATTCAAGTATCACTGTAATATGATGGTTTTAACTGATTCAGGAAGATACCCAGAAGAGGTGGAGCTGGATAAACTGGAATTTTTAGTTTTAGTGCTTTGAGGAATCTCCATACTGATTTACATAGATGTTGTGCTAGTCTACGTTCCCGTCAACAATGTAGAAGTTTCCTTTGTCCCCAAAACCTTGCCAGCATTTGTTATTTTGCAAGGTCTTGATGATAGCCATTCTTTCTGGAATAAGATGGAATCTCAGTGCTGCTTTAATTTGGATTTCTGTTTTTTTCTTTTCAATTTTTTTATTTGTACATGATTACAGTACACAATGATTACATTCTTAATGGGGAGCCGGTACATGTACATAACACATCTTAATTTTTTTATCCTCTTTGCTCTCCCTTCCTTCCTCCCTCCATCCAATTCTTGAGCCCCTTCATTTTTGCAAAAGATCTATCCCCATTTCCTATTATCTATGTTTTGTTTTCTCTTCATTTATATTTGGGCTTTCTCATAGAGGAGAAACCATGCAATATTTAGGCTCACGTGTCTGATTTATTTCACTTAATATTACGGTCTCAAGCACATCCATTTTCCTACAAATAACTCAAGTTTATCCTTCCTTATGGCACAGTAGTACTCCACTGCAGATAAATACCACACTTTCTTTATCCATTCATCTGGTAATGATAGATATATATAATGGTAGTGATGGATATATAGAGTGCTTCTGAGATTTAGGTATTGTAAATTGTGCTGCTATAAACACGAGTATGCATGTGTTACTGTACTATGATGCCTTTAACTCAGTCTCCAGCTGATGGGCACTTGGGCTGTTTCCAAGCTTTAGCTATTATAAACTGTGCCACAATAAAAGCTATTATAAACTGTGCACATATATCGCTGTGGTATGATTCTTTTAATTCTTTTTGGATGTTATTTCTTGTGCAGTTGAGATTCTGTTCAGAAAGTCTTTGCCTATACCTATGACTTCAAGAGTTTTACCTGTCGTATATTCCAGCACATTCAGTACTTGTTTTAACATTTAAGCCTTGCTGCTTAATGATATTGGAATCAAGAATGGTGACTAGTGACTTCCCCATGGAAAGAGGGGTGAGGACAGGCTGAGCTGGAAGTGACAGCCACTCTGCTGTGGTCAGCGCCTTGTCAGGCCATGGAGATGCAGACTGTGCCCACTGCTCTCAGCCAAACACACAGAGGCTGTCTCTCCTCCATACTCGAGACTTCGGTCTGATACAGATTATTTGGTTGTCTTGGAGACAGTGTTATTCTGGAGGGGACAGGGGACCCTTCTAGAAAGCTGTCCCCCAGTGGAGACCCCTGCTGAGCCCAAATCTTGAAGTTATAGCTGGAGCCGGTAAGAGTGCCCCCCCCGCCCCCCCCCACTGAAACTCAAGGAGTACTTTTTTCCTCCTCTTTTCTAGACCTGTCACTCTTAAAGATTGCATCCAAAAAGTAGATGCAAAGCCCATCCAAGCCCTCCCCATCTCCTGAAGTCTGAGCTTTATGAAAGATTTGGTCTTGTTAAATGTTAGCTTTCAGAGCTGAGGGCTGTTTTTTTTTTTTCTTAAGTCCATTGCACAACAATTTCTTATTTTAACCTTCTGCCAAATTCTGCACTTCTGTCAGAGGTTACTATGAGTGTTTGAACAGGTAACTTCTACCTTTGGACCTTGATTGCAACAGGTTCAAAGTTTCTAGAGGAGCTTGCTGAGCACCCTGAGGTCTGGATGCAGTGCTTCAAGGTGTAGCCCAGTCCCAGGAGTTGTAGAAAAGGCAGGAGTAACTGAATGCAGTGCTGAGCCAATACAGCCAGTTGTTAGAGGAGCTTTCCTGCATCCAGAGCCCTGGTCAGATCCTGATCAGTATTTCTATGAGGTAAGCTATGATAATCCCAACTGCCCTATATTTTATACATCTGTCAGATAATGCGGAGCGGGGTGGTATTGGAGGAGAAGGTGGGACATGGACCTGTGCTCAGCCAAAGGCTCTTTTATAGTGTGAAATTACATTTGATTGAGTAGTGGCTAACTTGTATGTTGTCAAAACTCTTCTAACTCATATAGAAGCAAAGAAAAATCAGTTGGAAAGAGAGAGGAGAGGTGCCTGGGTGCTAATGGGAGAAGAAATCGGAAGAAAATGTTAATGCTACCAAGTCACTAAAACAGACTTACAACCTTTAAAGGTTCCATTCTGAAATTTCTGTCCCTGTCGGGTTAGAAGGGCCATTCACCAACTGTTGAAGGCAGAGATCCCCGTTTGGGAGACAGAGAAAGGAATCCTTGGTAGATATTCTACTACTGCTGGGGGAACCATACCAGGAGCATGCCATGCATTACCTCACCAGCTTGCTGCCTCCCATGAGGTAGGTGCTATCGTTCCCATGTTATGGATGGATAGTTTGGGCTGTCAAACAGTACAGCCTGGGCTACACAGCCAGGAGGTGGCATGGCTAGTTGGAGCCCTGATCAGTCTGTCTCTACAGTCTGTTCCATAATGCAGAATTCCTGCATGTTGTCTCTTATTCTCAGAAATCTGGAGTGTCACTCCTGTGCACGTAGGATTGGCTAAGAACGTGCCTCTGATGAAACTTTAAAATGACCCAGACCTTTCTGAATATGAGCATTCAATTGTGGAGGAGATCTATTTAAAATAAAAACAAGGCTCCTCTCCTTGCTGTAAGCCTCTACCTCTGCTTGACAAAGGCTGTCAGTCTCCAGAGAAAGCCTGCAGTGTTAGAACGACCCAGGCATGACACCTATTCTGCCATCGTCCACTGCTCTTTCAGGGGGGAAGTGACTTCTGATGAGCTGAGGTCCTGAAACTGAGCAAAGCCGAGGATTCCTCCAGCCATGAGATGACCCCACAGATGGAATGACAGCAGGCTCTCCTTCCTCTTTCTCCCACATCCAGAGGGGGCTCCCAGGAGACCAAGGGTCAGCCTGTACATTCTCCAAGATTGTGGCACCTCACCCTGACTTTTCAGCTGGAGGCTCTCAGGACCTGCTCTCTACAGAAAGAATAAACCCTAACCTAGCTCTAGTGAACTCCTATGAGCCTTCTTGGAAGGATCAAGGCTGGGGAAGTTGCTGCTTAATTCCTCGGTACCTGTGAACTTGCAGGTGGGGATGGGGATGGGGATGAGAAGAGCCAGGAGAACTCTCTGCCTTTAAGTCTGAGAGCTGCATCCACAGTGTCCCTCTGAGGCCACAGCCTTAGGTAAATCAAATAACAGCACTACAGATCCTGGTAATACTGGAGGGGGGTGTGGGAGGGGAGGGAGAAGAGAGGAGAGAGGAGAGAGGAGAGAAATTCCAAATAAGGAAGGAGGTGGGAAAGGCTGAGCCCAGCGGGCATGTCAGCAGAAAATGAGCCCTGTCAATTTAATGGCTCACTGCCCCGTCACTCTGGACTTGGTTGTTTATTTTGTTGGCTGTGGTGACCAAGGAGGCAGTTCTGGGGATGCGAGAGAGGGGTTCCCCTGGAGAAAAGAATGGATGACACAGTCTCGAGATGAATCTGAGGGCAGAGGCCCCTCTAGCTGGACCTTCCAATGCTATGAATCTAGCAGGGAAGGTGTTGCCTCCACTGCTGTGACACTAGTGGTCCGAGAGGTGCCTGTGTTGTTTGGATTTGGTTTTTCTCATCTTGGTTTACAGCTAGTAAGATAAGAGATCAGGGTGGCTTGTATTGAGGCAAACTGGCTTCTGTTTTCAGCCCTGAGGAGCTGGGGTTAAAGGCTTTGAAAGGGAGCAAGGGGCTCTTGGGCAGCTTCTCTCCTCGTGGTCACAATACTTCCACTTTCATTTGTGAAAGAAAAACCAGGAAGTGAAGTCCCAAGCACGTTAGAAAGCTCAGCCATGGCCTGACTCCGGACAGCTCAGAGCAGGGCATACATGGAGACCTCTGAGACTGTCTGCCTGCCGCATGGATACTCTGAAGCCACTCTGTCCCTGGAGAAGCCAGGGGTAAGGAGAGAGGGACAGGGACGAAACTTGTGTGTCAGGAGGAACGTGGTGCCAGGAAACCCCATTTACTGGAAACGCCAGGGCCCTCGGCCCCTCTCAGGGTAAGGGAACGCCTGGGGTGATGTTCCGCCAGGGGGCTTGTGAGTGTGTGATAGGCATCCTCTCCCCAAGTTCAGCACAGCACCTCGGGAGGCTAGAGCTTGCTGTGTCCTGCTGGCATATCGCTCTCTTTCTCTCCCAGGGCTCCAAAAGCCACCTTCGAGTCCCTGTGTCAGGAGGACAAGGGGAAGGAGATGTGGGAACGAATGGGTCTTTCTCCTGCCGCTCTTAGGAGTTTAGCTACAACACGGACCTGGGCGGGGGCGGGGGGGGGGGATGCTGAGCCTCTGGCCACCTCCTCTGTGGCGGCCTCGGGATTCACCTTAATTTTCATTCGACTTTCACTCCCTCTTACAAGAGCTGGTAGACGAGAGTGAGGAGGTGGGAGAGACAAATGGAAGGTTTCTGAAGAAAGTTGGATTTGTTTTCAGGGGTAGGGCCACAGGTCACAGCCAAGATGAGCTGGGAGGACCTTCGGGGGGGCTGAACACTGGGAGAGATTCAAGCATGGTACTTTCTGTGGATATCCACCGTTTTGTGGTGTGGTCTGAAAAGTAAGAATGAAGCTACGGCTCTAATTTGTAGGTGATTGTAGTCCGTAACAGAGCAGAGTCTTAAAAAGTAATAACATAAAATGAACGACTGATGTAGTTTCAAGAATAAAAGTGATCACTACAGCTTGATCTCTCCTTCCACGTTCTGGCATGGACTCACTCTGGGGAGGCGCCCTCCTAGGGAGAGGTATTTGAGGCAAAAATAGAATACATCGTGGGAGAGGCATGGTCTGAAATGTTGAAGGCATCGCTTGTGTGCTTGACACAGTAAAAGAAAGACATAAAGCAAGAACCATAAACGCAAGTGTCTATGGGACAAGCGGGTGATATTGATGAAGTAGATGGTATGCAATGAGATGCTGGTGAATGGGCGCTGGCAAGATTCAGGGCAGGCACACCCCAGACCAACACATCTAAATTTAAGTTTAGAAAAACACCACCAGACCAAAGAGAATATTTCAGCCAAGCACCTGGCTAGGTTCTGACGTAAAGGTGTCTTTACATGTTGTCTTTATATTATAGGTCTTTACGACAAAGTCACCTACAACAATATCAGTGTACCATTTCATACCTACATCCTATATATTTCATGCAGGTCAGGAAAGGAGAAAACTATGGATAGAGAGAGGAAAGATGAACTCAGTGAAGTACCAGCACGTACTAAGCACTCTTATTTAATCAAGACAATCTTTTGAGGTGGGTGATTGTGTCACTTTAGGGTTGGGAAAGTAAGCAGGGCAGAGAGGCAAAGCAACAATCTCCAGGGTCACAAAGCGAGCAAGTTGTCAAAATGGGACTGAAACTGCTGTCAGTGTGATGCTGAAAAACTGTCCTTCATCCACACACATAAAGTGTTAGCCTTCCTTCAGATTTCCCAGAAAATTTAAATTTGTGAAAAAGATTTTCGTGTAGGATGATCTGAACAGTAGGTATTGAATTCACATATTTATAACCTTTGTTTCAGGTTGAAACATTTAGAACCCCAAATGTTACAACTACTATTCAATGAACATTTTCTAGAAAGCTATACTTTGCTTCATGTTTTATGGAGATTTTACTTTTTGACCTTCAAAACAGTCCTATGAGATAGCTACTTTATTTCATACACAAGAAAAGTGAGGCTTAGCAATAAAGCCACAAACACTCTAGGATTAGATTGGATCTGGAAGTTAAACTCTGGTTCTTTTAATTCGGAAGGTGATCTCTGCCTGTTTCTGATGAATCTAGTTTAGTACATAGGCCAAAGAATTAGGGACTGGAAGAAACTTGTCTTTTGAAAATCCTCCCATCTTGGCTCCATTGAGACAGAAAATCAACTGGTAGTAGTCAGGGGTTGGGGAGAGAGAGATGCAGAGGCCGACTGCTTCATGGTACAGGGTTTCCTTTGGGGGTAATGAGAATGTTTTAGAACTAGGTAGAAGTGGTGGTTGCGTGACAGTATGAATGTACTAAATTCTTAGAACACTTTGAAATGGTTAGTTTTTGTTACGTGAATTACACCTAAAAAAGTATCCTCTCACCTTTAGGCTGGTGTGTCCCAAATCAGGATTTGGCTATTTTTTTAGAAACCAAGGGTGCAGTTCCTGCAGATACACTGACCCTTGTTAGGTGTGCCCAGAGGCGACTCTTGAGTCTGGCAGAGACCTGCAAAGGTAGCCTAGTGCCAGCGACCACAAGCTTAGCCATCATGGTTTTCACCTCATCCCTCTGTAAATAAGTCGAGATGTTTCCCCAAATCCTGAGGTCAGAAGTGAGCTCTTTCCCCTTGTACAGGGCCTCACACTTCCTAGGTTCTCAAATCCTAGGGATTGAATCAATCTATGAGTTTTTGGAGATTGAAAGATCAGAGAACCCATGTACTGCAGTTACCCAGCTAGGGAAAAGTCTGTTGGGGCTGGTTATAGATCTCTCTGCCTCCCCCAGTCATTCTATTCTGAGAGCAGTGGGGTTGGGAGTGGTTTGTAGGAGGACACCGGGAAGGGAAGAGGGGCTGGGTCAAGATAAGAACACGCCTCCTCCAACTAGCAGTGCTGTAATAGAAACAAGGAGTTGTTAAGACTCTCGCATGTCAGTAGAACGAAGATCGTGATAGTCTCTTCTTTTGTAACAGAGCATCTGATGCTACTGGAAGAAGGAAGAGAGAGTTCGTCTTTACTGAGGACTCTATGTAGCCAATAGTATACTAGAAACTACACACATTATCCCGTCTGTGTGCAGTTAAGGAGTTCTGATGCTCAATGGCACTAAGTAACTGTCCTCAGGGCCACCTGGCCGGTAAGTGGTGGAGCTGCTGCTCTGCCATCTGGAGAAGTGATGGCCTTGAAAGTTGGCCTCTGAAAATAAGAGTATTGGCAATAAAGCTGGCTGCTTGTTCTTTGAGTCTGGTGACTCTTGACCATTGGTCCAGCCAGGTAGCACGAGGGCTGATTCTGCAAAGAACTGAGGCAGAAAGGCCTTTTTCACAAGCACTTGCATCACCTGGTCTTAATCCTGGCAGTGTTAATGGAGACTCAGCACTTTGTCCAGCCTATCTTTTTACAGACCTTCTTATCAAATCCAGTGGACTTGTGATACTGGTTCTCCTTACCTTGCTTTTCTCATAGATCACTTGGTCAGCAGTAGGCTTGGGTGCCCTTGAGGCCATGTACCTTGACAAGACTTCCCTCAGGATGGAGCTACTGAGATTTGACTGAGATTTGTTGAAGCACAGTGCTAGATGAAAGTTGGCCATATCAACCTGAGCACCAGTGGGATTTGTCACTTCTTATCTCCACCCCAGGGGTGGCTCCCCGCTATCCTACTAGATTCAGGTAAGAGGTCCTTGGTATTGACTTAACAAGCATCCTATTAAAGACCTCTCAAGTCAGCTGGCCAAGGCATCCCCTCCCCCCAAGTGTCTTCATGTTCGTGACCCAAATTGTTTGGGGTTTTTTTTGGTACCAGGGATCGAACTTGGGACTTTGCACTTGCGATGCAGGCGGCAGAACCACTGAGCTAAATCCCCGGTCCACATGACCCAAATTGACTCCAGTAGTACAGTGATTACACAAGGCCCTGGACACTGTCATTTTTACACTTCCTGGAGGCTTTATCTTTTTTTTTTCCTTTCAATTAAAGATGGACCGTCCCTACATTAGAAATAGCTCCTCACCATTTCTCACCCTGAAATGTCCCATTTTTTCTCATGTGTGCCTCCAGCCACATCCAGGCATTTCTCTCCTTCCCTTCCACTTAGGTTCATCCAACCTAATGTGATGATTGGTCTGTCCATGAAGAAGGCAGATAAGCAACAAGAGATCCCAGTTGAGAAAGATAGTTTGGTGCTAATAGCCAAGCAGGGTTTGAGCCCATGTAGCCTGACTCAAGAGGTCTGGAAGGCCAGCATAGTGATATATGCCTATAGTCCCAGCACATGGAAGGCTGAGGCAGGAGGATCACTGTGAGTTCAAGACCAGCCTGGACTACATAGCAAGACCCTGTCTGAAAAAACAGAAAGGGAGGGAGAGAGAGAGAGAGGGGAGAGAGAGAGAGACCTGGAATAAGAGTCGGGGTCTTACTAGCTGTAGACTTTATTGGTATGATCATCACCTTTGATTGCCCCTGGAAAAGCAACATTGGTGATAGACTGAGTGTTCCATATGGGCATCTTGATCTACTCCAGTGTACACTGGCCACCCCTTTCTTCAAATTCATGAGCTCATTCCACACACTACAAATCTGTGCTTTTCATGTTAGATAGACCCAGAAGTCCCCAGAGAGTAGGAGCTATGACTTCTGTCTGTCCCTCAACACATAACACAGTGCTGGACACAAGTCCAAGATCTTTGCCTTATTGAAAGTTAATGTATAAGTTAACTAAGAGTCTTCCCACACACATATCTCTCTAGTCTACCAAGGGACGCCAAAGCTGGGGTACATTCCACAGAACGCTTGTCTTAAAGTATTACAACTGCCAGGAATTGACTTTGTTTTCTCCTAGACTGGATCCAAGTACACTCTCTCCCCTCTAGCATCCTGCCTGGTGCACAGTAAGTGTGTGCATGCCCAAGTGCATCATGATGAGTGAACTTTGACCTTGCTCAAGGCAGGCTTCTTAGTGTTGCCTCTCATGGCATCAAACCCTCCCCCCAGCTGTGGTTCCCACGGAAGATTCGGCTGACTGTCCCTGGGTAGGAGCATGGTGCATTTCTTGAATTCTGCAACTAGATCCTTTAACAGACTCCCCTCCCTTGTGGCAGTGGCCAGCCAAAGAAGCAACTATGGGCTCCCACTGTGTCTCAGGTCCATGCTGAGTGTGCCAGAATCCAAAAGCTAGGATGCACTCTGGGGAGGAGTGAATGTTACAGCATGGGGAGGCCTATTGTTCCAGAGATGATACTGAGTCACCGGAAGGCTCCCTGAGCCACAGGCCCAAGAGAAGCGCTAATCATACCCCATTTCTCACACCTCATGAGCTCTGGTTCTGCCAGCCTTTTCTGTGCAATTCAGCAGCAAGACATCACTGGGGATATTCCTTAAAAACCCTCCTAATGGATGCATGCTTCCCCAGCTCTCTTACAAATAAGTGCCATTGGGCTAGAGAGGGATGTGGGAGGTTAATCACTTAGCTTCTCCCCTCCCTTTAATTACTTAAACAATCAAACTGAATTTTTCCATGGTGTGGAAATTACTGAGTTACACCGCCCCCCCACACACACACACCCAGCATCTTAATACAGCTCCTTTGGGTAATACAGGCTCCCTCCCCATTTTGCCAGGCAAGTATTTCAAGAAATGGCTGGTGGCCCTTTCCTTCTGCCTGGGGACTTCCCCCATGTGTGCTTCAAAGCACACTGGGAGCCAGGCCCAGGGTGAAGAAAACCTGTGGCTGGTCACATGACTAGTGTGAGGCAGTGGCCTGAACCCTCAGGCCAGGTGAGTGGCTGGGAGGTAATCAGGCTCATAGGTCAGGATCCTGTGCCAGCCTCTTCTCTAAGCTACTTGGAGTAAATGTTGAAAGATGCATATTCAGGGCCCCCTGAGACTCAGACCTGACTTCTGCTCTGGTTTCTTATCTGCAGGAGAAATGAACGAAACAGTTTTCTGCCCCCGGACCACTCCTCAGGCTGAAGGGTTCTGTGCCTGCCATGCGTTTTACACAGCAGCATGAGCGCTCGGCTGAGCGTAGGAAGTGGGTTTCATGGTGGAAACTCAAGGTTGTTGGAAACAAATCTTGGATATATTCCCAGGTGTATTCACATGAAATGCCCTCACCTAGCAAGCAGAAGATTTAAAGTCAGCTGCCTGATCCAGAGTTGAGATAATATGGAGTTGTACATACTATTGTTTAGCAAACAAAACAAAATACATATTTCAGATTAAACAATGCGCACCATCAAGGGTTACTTTCCCACTGAGACCAGTTCTGGCTTCTCTAATTCAAACTCACTCCCCTGTTGTGCCCCAGCTCCCTTTCCTTACCTATTCTTGCTATTGTTGTTTTTGTTCCATTTTATAATAATGTAGTCATTGTACAGGCTTGTTGTCAAACTCCCCAATAGAAAAAAAAATCTCACAAGGGCAGGATTTTCACCACTGTATCCTCAGCACCAGGAAGGATGCCTGAGACAGAGTCAAGCCCTTCAGTATTCTTTGACTGAATGATTGAATACCTAAGACTTTCTGGAAAATCCTTTCCTAACTTCTCTGCCATCTGTCTTTTCCTATGCGGGTTATCCTTTCAGCAATGCAAATGCATATAAACTCATCATAATTGGGATCGTACTGTACTGTACACTCTTGTCCACATGTTCTTTCTTTCTTTCTTTTTTTTTTTTTTTTGGTACCAGGGATCGAACTTGGGTCCTTGCACTTGCAGGGCAGGCAGCGCATGTTCTTTCTTTTTACTTGGCAATAGATCATGGAGCTGTTTTCCTATCAGCACATACAGACCTCTGCCTGCCGGGAGGTCCGTTCTTCAAAAGTGCTATAATTTCCTGAGTTACACCTTTCAGGGAGGATTTGCCTGGGCTTTTGCTAAGGTTTGAGAGGAGGTAGCAGAGATGGCTGTAAGCACATCACATGTGCATTTACTCCTAAAGCACAGTGACAGCCTTATCATGGAGATATTATGATTGCCATTTGACAGGTGAGAAGCCACACAGAGGTTATCTGCCACAGGCCACAGAGAGGGTGCTAAGTAGGGCTTGACCCCATGTAGTCTGACTCAAGAGACCAAATGCTTAATCAGTACATTGTGCATCCCCCATGAGGCACTTTCTTGAGCTGAGGTCTTCCTACAGGGTAAATTGATGGTACAATCAAAAGATGTTTGGCCTTACCACATTTTAAATTGTGGTAGGAGCCAATGGGCTCATATCTGAGAGGCTGCATGCATTTCATTTTCCACAGTTAATAATTAATAATTAAATAATAAATTATAATAAATAAATAATAAATAATTTATGATTAATAATTAAATTAGCTCTTTGCCTATCTGGCTATTTGATACTTTTTTCCACTTTAGATTTTGTGTCTGTTATCCTTTCTGCAAGTTCAATATTTTTAAATATTCTTCTCCAATCAAACTTGCCACCATGTTCATTTCTAGATTTCAGGTTTTATGTCTACTTTTTGTTTTTCCCATACCATCAGTATAAAAACGTTTTTCTCTCATGCATTTTTTAAAATCATGGAAAAAGTGCTATTCAAATTAGTACACGTAACATATATATAATTTGTATGTGTAGAAATTAGTATACATAAGAATAAATGTGTAAAATTTATAATTAAAAAATGTAGATCTGAGGCACATAAGAAGGCTTGAAAAATGCAAAGACATACCTGAAATAGTCAAATCCTATGTCCTTAAATGTATTCCATGCAACTCTAATTAAGACCAATGGGATTTTCTTGAGAACTAAAAAGCTCATTCTGGAGTTTATTTTTCTAAAAAATAAAACTCATAGAGTCAAAATATCTTTTAAAAATAACAGAAATTGGCTGGGGATTTAGCTCAGTGGTTTCGCTGCCTGCTGCACAAGCGCAAGGACCCGAGTTCGACCCCCAGTACCAATAAATAAATAAATAAATAAATTTTAAAAATAACAGAAATTGGGCAAGGAGCAAAATGACAAACACAGTGAAGCTTGCATATTTTCTATAGGGCTATCGAAATTTTCTATTGGTCTTAAAAAACAGACATACGTATTTAACAAAATAATTCTGAAATAACACCCAGTAGATGCTGTTATCATATACGAATTGCATCCCAAGCCAAAATAGGGTTTTTTCACCTATAATTAATATATTGAGATTACCGACTAGCCCTTGAGAGAGAGAAAATGCTGGCCATCTTTGAATTCTTTTAATAACTTGGGTATCTGTGATTCTGTTTCCTTGGGAACAGTGTTTTTCTACATCAGGCTTCCTCTGAGTTTTATGAAACAGGATTATTGTCTCAAATAATGTTATCATTTCCTTCCCTGGTAGAAGAAAATTACATGTGATACAGACAATTAAACTGGTGTGGAAAAGGTGAAAAGCCCTTTGCTTGGGAATCTCTAAGGAAATCTGGTTAAGAACCCTACAATAGGATACCACATGCCTGGTTCGCCTTCATTGCACTTTAAAGACAAGGTTAACAGATGTTTCCAGATGTGCTCGTGGTGCTGTTAGCTCATGGTGTCCTATTGACTTTTTGCTATCGCTTTGTTTAGACAGAGACTATGTGTGTCAGGACTGAGCTGGCGGTCTTAGGAAAGTAACAATAGAGGCTTAGAAGTGAAAATCCCAGTCCAGTGAGCAAGACTTTTATACACAGCTTCCTAAA